GGCTATAACGAGACCTAAGTGTTTAAAAATGCTCACTTGCCAGCCAAGCCATAGGTTCTTATTCGATTTCCGACTGATGCACTCCCAAATCTCACCTGCACAGTAGTAAGCCTGGAAAAGATGGATGGTTGGGGCGGGTGAGACTAACAAACCCACCCCATAATAAAAAAACAGCTCTAGGGATCAGGCCTTGGAGCCTCATTTTCCACCCGGAACGCAAAGAATATATATTTATAATATATAATTCATATGTCCTGTTTTACTTACTATCCAGCAAAATCATGGTGTTCTTATGAAATTGCCTAAGTTTCACTATTCTTACTAGAAAGCATTTTCAGCGCTAACTTTAAATTATCTATGAAGCACAAGACCATCTTTCAAAAGGTGACTTTCATTGCGACTTGAAAATCCCCAAATGAGTCATATAAAAGAAAAGGCGTTCAACGAAGAGTTACTCCTCTTTTCAACGATATCATTCTCAAGCTGTACATCTGCATATACATATATATTTATTATTATTGTTGTTTCCTTTAATTCCTAGAGGAACATAGGGCTTCAGCCGCACACATCCATTGTGTTCGGTTCTCTGCTAGAGTCTTCATCTGGCTCCAAGTCTGCACACACGTTTTCATCTCCTCTTCACATCACCTCCTCAAAGTCACCCTTGCACTGACGACCAACTCGCCGCTTCCCTTTCGGGTTCTACTCGAGCAATGGCTTGTCTAGTGATGTCACTTGATGGTTTCCTCAGAGTATGGCCAGCCAATCCACCTCCATTTCTTGCTGCCTATTTCTTGCGCAGTCGGTTCCTGGTTGGTTCGCTCATTGCCAGAGATCTCTGTTGCTGATCTTCTCTGGCCGGCCATCTGATCTTGAGTAGTATTGAGCGAAGACAACTGTTAATGAAGGTCTGTAGTTTGTTTGATATAAATATATAGGATTCACCTAAAGTTGAACGAGAGTAAGGTTAGCAACAGTGGTAATAGTTTGGGGTAGAAATTTAATAGGGAGTATGCGAAGAAAATAACACAATTAAGAAACAAAGTACACAAGAATTACGTATTTGGTGTTAAGAAGGATCACGCCCATTGTAGATTTAACAAACAAACTTCTTTTGTATACAGAGTTCAGGATTTACCATGTTGATTGTCATTGCTTCTTCGGGCTTTGAAGAAGTTTCATTCACACTCGTTTAACAAGATTCCCGTGGACTCTGTAGATAACTCTGAAGTTGGTTTGTGGGTTAGCCTGGTGTCCAGATTCGATTAGGTGTCCCAGGATGAAGCTGTGGCGGGGGTGGGGTTTTTTCTCCTTGATAAAAACCATCAGGTTAAGTGTTTGATAGTACGTTTGGATAGGAAACGCTGGATACGTTCGATATACCTATCTACACACGAGCAAGTGAATTGTTACACGCACATTGATGAGGTGGTCAGCAGTGGTAGCTTATCCTTCACGTTCATGCAAATCGTTGATTTCGTGGAGAAAGTTAGTTGAAGTTCAGCAGCGAAGAAGGTTTCCTTCAGTAAGCAAGACGGGTGGTTTCCCAATGTTCCTGCTGATGAGTCTCCATTGAATCGTAGATCTAAGTAGAGAATCTTTTTTGGAAACAGAAAGTGTGGTCGGTTTAAGTCGTTTAGATTTCATGGATTTCGTGATCAAATATTCTGGGTTGAGAATGATATTGTCGAAAAGAGTAACTCTTCGCTGAACACGTTTTCTTTTCTATGACTTTCATTACGATTATTCGTCACTGTGGGGCTTTTTTTTAAATTATTGTATTCATCTCTCTTGATATTGATCGGTTGTTTGACCTAATATTCGACATTTCAATCGTGTGACTTATTATACTTTATCGATTCATAACTATAATCTGACCTGAGTATCAGGCTTCAAAATCAAGACGCTGGGATTATTCATGTTTCTTAACTTTAGGATCTGACATTATCTCGATTGAAATTGTGTTCGTAGTTGTTCACATGCACTGTCTGTGAGTGTGGTGTGCCTTTCGACTGTTAATTTGTGTTCTTGGATCAGAAGATGAAATGGAAATCTACTATGAGTAATGTAATGATAAGCATTTCTAACAGGCCACAGCCTTCTTTGCTTCCGTATTGAAGATCAGATGGCTGGCCATAAGGCATTAGCAACAGGGAACTCTGGCTGGGAGCAAACCAGTCAAGAGCCACTTGTTCAGCAAATATGTAGGAGAAAATGGAGATGGATTGGGCACACACTCGCACACACTGAGGAGAAAATCGAATGACATTGAGCGCTATACCGTTGCTCACCGTGTAAGGTGAGTGGGGAACGACGACTGAGGGAGGCATCGTTGTAAGGATGACATGGATGAGATCGTGTGAGGAAGAAATGAGAAATTACGGGCAATCGTGGGCTCAGCTAAAGAGGACCTCTGGGAATAAGACAAAGTGGAGACATGCTGTTGAAGACGTATTTTCTACTCGGAGCACTTAGGAACAATAATATAAAATATTAATAATAATAGTAATAATAATATCTTTATTCTGAGCAGTATTTATATAATGTACAGAATTTTCAGACGAGTTTATTCCATGATATTTTCCCCCTTCGTATAATATCTTCAACCATCTAATATCATCAAATCAATGTGCACCGCGATGGCGAGCCACCTAGACTGGTGGCCACATTGCAAAACCTGACTGACTGATAGAATTCAATCTGCACCAAAGAGAGGGCTAGACACATCACACTAGTTACTAGTGTCAAATCAAAATATCCACTACAGTCCTACAGGAGGTCAATCGAGAGCCCGAATAGCTCATTGGTAACGTCTCTGACTGCGGTGCTGGGTGACGCGGGTTCGAATCTCAGAAGGGACATGGGTTCCTTCAAGGTTGCAGATACGCCTAGCTGATGAGTGCCAACTAGCACGAAACCTAGGTCCAAGGCTTCCTGTGGCCCATTGCCTCCAACCATCTAATATCATCATATCTTCAAGTAAAATATTGATTAAGTGACAGCATATCCTCTGACACAATGCTCTCTGAAGTGAGGCAGAAACCATTCCATTGTGATATATCTGCTTTGTCTCCTCAAATAAATCCTCGATCCCTAGTTGCAAGCCATCTGTAAGATGTTCAGAAGTACATTTTGAGACCCTAAAACATAACTGAAGAACAGTTATCTCATGTATTGGAACACGTTACCACCCCCACAATCAGGCAATTCCTCAAGTTTAGTAGGAACCTGAGGATCAGGCAGGAGCTTGTAAACATTTTAAATACACACAAGAGTAGAGGTCATATCTTAATCGATTTTAACAAACCGAACGATAGAGAGAGATGGAAGTTTTTTGGTAGCCCAAGTCTTAGACAGGCCATCAGTCAAGTGCAGTCCGTAACTACCGGCACCAACACATTGTGTTCAGTACACAGGGAACCGATCTTCGCCTTAGACTTTATAGCTATCCGAAACTTCCTTGAAAAACTCACAGTCGCTAAAAGCTCTAAAGACAGTAAAACTGAAATTATTCGTTGATAGATCTATGGTTCTATTCATCAACAAGAATCACATCAAAAACAGAAAATTACTTCAACAGCTATAGAGGCAAGATAACTTTCGAAGTACAAAACAAGTACTGTAGAATAAAGCTAGTTAGCCAACTGTAAGTCAGCTATAAGAAGTATACCTTAGAATCATGTAGAATATTTCCAACAATATGGGATCAGAAACTCTAGCGGCGAAAATCACGCATCAGCAATCCCAACAAAATGTCCAATGTCATAATGACCTTGAATCATTCAGACAAAACCACATCATAAAACAATACATTATCAATGTATCGCCAAAACCACAAAGGGGACCATTAAAAGTACAGATTATGCAGAGGGGACATAGACAAATAATAAGGTTTATTAATGTGCTACTGGGATATCTTTCCCGTCTGTTTTGCATTTAGGAAAAACTTACACACTAAAATGCTGCATATTCGTTTACACAAGTAGCATACTTGTTGCACAATCGGTTCTTACTGGATTGGTTCATTCCCACAGATCCCTCCCTATCGCTAAACTTTTCTGACCGGCCATCTGATCTTGAGTAGTATTGAGCGAAGACAGCTGTTGATATTCTCTACTTGATTTATGAAGAGGTAAATAAATACGTCAGTTCCACAGTTAGTAGCTAGCAATGAAAACTCGAAAGTGGGTTTCATCCCATTTTGGACTCATCAGCTGGATATTGGGTCAAGAAAGCCATTTCTTGTGCAAGCGGTATGACCTGAAATTATTCATTCAATAGCCTACAGAATAACACTATGGCGTTTTAAGCGACGGGCACTCGATTTGACTCACAGTGTGGGTACCATTAGTTACTGGAAGGGGGAAGGGGATGCAGGTACACCCGAACAACGAGTCCCTCATCGGGCGAAACACCATTTCCTGATTTTAGTGTTGGCCATCCCTAAATAAGTGACTTTGACTTATTTATCATGATAATATTGAAACATCCTCTCAAGAAGTTCATTTTAACAGAAATTCTATTGACTGAATATGATTTTTCTGTCTAACAGTATACTAGTAACCTGTAATGAGAAAGCAGTTTCAGTATAACATTAGTAAAAATATAAACTGGAAGATATTCGTAGACTGTCTTCAGGCGAAACATACCTTTTGAGACGATGGATTTAGAGTAGAAGAGCAATGTTTTGTGAGTATCTTAGCAGTAGAAGTAGTAGTAGTGTGGTAGTGTGATACAGACAGTTCGTTCCAAGGGAATATTATTCTCACATGTTCCCACAGTTCAATTCAGCATTAACAACAGAATACTATTTATGTATATTTGAACATTCTATTTTATTTCGTTTGATGTAAACCGAAATCACACACTCAGTGATTATTTAACGAATATAAACTCTAGATATATAAACAGAGATTTGATCAATGAAAATATACCTTGGCTTCCGTGTCTTGCCTTCTGTTGTTACAATACAATGAGCAATGACGATGAATATAGGTGAAATGTGGCGGGATAGTAGTAGTAGTAGTAGTAGTAGTAGTAGTAGTAGTAGTAGTAGTAGTAGTAGTAGTAGTAGTAGTAGTAGTAGTAGTAGTAGTAGTAGTAGTAGTAGTAGTAGTAGTAGTAGTAGTAGTAGTAGTAGTAGTAGTAGTAGTAGTAGTAGTAGTAGTAGTAGTAGTAGTAGTAGTAGTAGTAGTAGTAGTAGTAGTAGTAGTAGTAGTAGTAGTAGTAGTAAGGGATACCGTCGACACAAGTTGGTGGCAAAATTAAAAAAACGAAAGCGTATAAACCTCAATATATGTAAATGTACTCCGCACTACTCTCTTTTCATATGATACAATCTCTCATAAGATTGTTTCATTAAAAGTTTATTCGCCATGTGATTCTCTCTCACTATGTAAGTGTGTTTGTGTGTGTGTATGTGTGACTATTTTACAAAGCTGTGAAGTTGACAACTAGGGCACTATCAAGTACTTTGGGTGATCTTATTTTAAGACAAGGCTTGATAAATGTGATATGTATATACCGAAAAAACTATTCGATCAAATACATGCCTATTCAGTAGGCTAGTGAACTGTCTACTCACATCTTAATTCATTCATAAAATTATATGTAAGGCATTGAAATAAATTTCGAAATTGACAGGGATAACTGACTAAGATGGACTGCCCTACCTCCATTCTGTCAACCTATCTATAATCACCATCATGTTTCTTTTTTTATAAAAAAAACTCAAAAACCCAACGAAAAAATAACTCACAGAAAGGGTTTGTGTGTGTGTGAGAAGGAAAAAGTACGTGTGGATAGATGAATTAGTCTAAAAGTAGGCCATATATTCTTTTAACTTCACTACATTACCGTCCTGAAGAACCTAGAAGACCTGGATTTCGCGCGTGGATGATTTATGTTTGATGTCACAAAAAATCGAAGACTTACAAGCGAAAACCGACAAACTGGTCGAAGAAGCAGCAAAGACAGGACTCCAGGTGAACATAGACAAGACGGAGGTTATGAAAATAACCAACCAACAACAGCAGCAACATCCAGTGCCAATCACCATCAACGGGAGGGATTTGAAAGAGGTTACTTCTTTCACTTATCTGGGGAGCATTGTCTCAACCACAGGAGGAACGGACGAGGATGTCAAATCGAGAATCGGGAAGGCGAGAAACACATTCATCAACCTGTAACCAATCTGGAAATCTTCGTCACTCAGCCTGCACCAACAACAAAATTCGGATTTTCAATACAAACGACGTCAAGTCAGTCAGTTCTTCTATACGGATGGATCAGAAACTTGTCCAGTGGGTCACAAAGAATATTTCCAACAGCCTGTTGCAGACCTTTATCAACAACTGTTTTCGCTGGTTCTATACTGAAGATCAGATGGCCGGAAAGAACAAGAACCAACAAGAAACTATGGGAACAAACAAAACACGAACCAATCTCTGAACAAATATGCAGGAGAAATTGGAGATGGATTGGACACTCGCTGAGGAGGCATCGCGCTGTGTGACATCACGCGTCAGGCCATAGCTCGAGTGGAACCCGAAAGGGAGTCGGCGAGTTGGACGTGTAAGGGTGACATGGAGGAGATCGTGTGAAGAGGAGTTGAAACAGCATGAACTAACATGGATTCAGGTGAAAAGTACAGCAGAAGACAGAAGCGAGTGGAGGCGTGCAGTTGAAGCCCTATGTTCCACTAGGAACCCAAAGGAACAACAATAATAATACATCACCGTCCACCCTATGACGTGCCGTAAATCTTCATAAATCTTCATCAACAGCTATACGACAATACCACGTGTCGAGTGATTCACAACACAAAACTCAACGAATTGTTTAAAGTAAAAGACAGGTGAAAGGAAAGGCTGTCTGTCTATTATCACCCACGATGATATTCCTAATTGTGGTGGACTGGACTGTGTATCAGACTATAAGTGGAGAGCGAGAAGACAGTGATACACGTCGGACTGATAAGAAGACTCTAAAAGATCTACACTTTGAGGATGAGAATGTCCAACGTCACACAAACTCGAAGACTTACAGACGACAACGGTGACTCTAAGGTAAAGCAGCCTAGAACGAAACTGCCTAGCGAACGGATCAATGAACTTGACGACAGCTGTGTCGACCGATCAGACGCATTCATGTTAAAAGTGCATAATTTGAAGAAGAAAAAAGTTTATATAAAAGTGATGCAATGTTAAAGGATAGTTGTATGGGATAACGTGATTGAATATATTTCAAAAATAACCTCCAAATTTTCCATAGGAGCCTTCATAGTTAACCTAAACCAAGTCCTGTACATTAATTCATCGAGATAACTGTATACCGCTGTGTTTCTCGATCCATTCACCTCTCTGATCCTTCTTTTTTCAGGTGATTCCATAAATTTTCGATAGAATTGGTATGAATTTCATCGAAAAGATTGATGAAAACATCTGTATGGTTGACCACGTAATGAATATAGCCCAGTGATAATAGTTAGTTACAACTGCTCCATGGGTTTGTGTGAGTAAGCTTTGGATTATAGGCAATGAAACTTTGGCACTGCGACCGTGGATTGCCTCAATATATCCTTTGCGGAGGCTGGTATCACGTAGTCCCAACACCCACTGCTGGCTGGCAGTCAGTCTACCTCGACTGTCTCATCCACGTGGACAACGCCACCAAGTACTTGCGTCGGACTTTTCATTTTCCATGATGTTATGTCTCTGCAGTTATGATACCACTGGACTGCAGACGCTTCTGAATTCTCTGTTTCGAACGCTGTCGCCATCACTGTCACTGGTCGTTTGAGGACCCAGTTATGACACATCATCATAATTTTTGTCAAGGGCAATTTAGACTCAGCGATAAAAGTATCTACAGAATCTATAAGCTAAAATGAGAATGGTATACGTTCCATAACAGACTTTCTACTTCGGCATTCTTCGCACCTGTAGAGAAATCCATCAGTGCAGCGGGTATATCTTTGTAAATGCATAATTCCTCCACACTGAAACGCTTCCTGCTTTCCTATGAGTCTGTTTTCCAAACGGTAATTAAATATTAGATCTGGATGGGATTTGCTACGTAGCAGGTGTACAGCATCCATAATTACGCCTGTATAATACAGAATCACCTAAGTGGCTGCTCAAGGTCATTTATCCGTTCGCTGGGTACTTTAGAGTCACCGTTGTCGCCTGTACGTTTTCGAGTTTGTGTGACGTTGGACATTCTCATCCTCAAAGTGTAGATCTTTTAGAGTCTTCTTATCAGTCCGACGTGTATCACTGTCTTCTCGCTCTCCACTTATAGTCTGATACACAGTCCAGTCCACCACAATTAGGAATATCATCGTGGGTGATAATAGGCAGAAAGCCTTTTCTTTCTCCTGTCTTCACTTAGAGCACCTCGTTGAGTTTTCTGTTGTGAATCACCTGACCCATGGCATAGTCATTTAGCCAGCTGTTGAATGAGGTTGATAAATAATTTTTGGGGTACTGCCCACAACAGAGTTGAAGTAATTTCCAATTTTCAAGTATTGGTTTGTAGAGATATGATTGATTGGTTACAGGACTTTATCATGAGCTGACATTGGTTAGAGAACCATTGGAAAACCTGCAAGTAGTATTGGACAGCTATTTCGTCCTAATGTGGGACTCTTCAGTAGTACATAAAGCGGTCGCGCTATGTCGTGAATTGGCAGAAGTTGAATCCATTGAATGGGGTTCCAGTGGCTGCTTAATGAACTACGAGCTCGCTTGTAACTAGAAGGTCCTGGGTTCGACCCCCACTGTGGTGGGCGCGCACTGATGAAGAGTCCCAAACTAGGTGGACGAAACAGCTGTCTAGTAGTACACCCTGCAGGTTTTCCAATGGTTTTCTAACCAATGTCAGCTCATGATGAAATCCTGTAACTAATTTCCAATTTAAGACTTATATATGTGATTATTTCAATTCCACTATGAGAATGTATTATTATTATTATTTCACCTGTGACGCAGTAGTAAACTGTGATTTATTCGTCCACTGAATTTTTTCCTCAGGCGACATTTATCACCATTATGAAATCATCAGCTAACAATAATAATAATAATAACAATACTGCGTTGACCACTGTCTGTCTGGTGCAGAAGTTTGCAAAAGTTTGACAAGTCTCAGCTAAACTTCGACGCCATTCAATTGAGAGAAAAAAATGATAATAATAATAATTATAATAACAATGATAAAATGAATATGTGTCGACTATAACAAAAGAGAAAAAAGAAAAACCTAGAGAGAGAGAGAGAGGGAGAGTTTCTCATCAGTCTCGCCTTTCTCAACCATCTCTGTCTCACTTCTTTCTTTCACTAAGTTTTTCTTTCATGATTTCCTGCTCCTCCTCGTGGTCACTGGTTTTCTTTCCCTCGTAATCACTTTGCTTCTAAACACAAGCAAACGTGAATATACATGAAATATCAAATAATTCTGTTGGTATATAGACGGCGAGCAGATGAAGTGGGGGGGGGGGGAAGGGTTCGAAACTCATTTTAAGAAGAGGAGAAAAGGAGGGGAGGGATGATACAAAAAAAACACATTAAAAAAAAGAACAAAGTAATGAGCAATTGTCATGAAAATAATTTTTCTAAAAAAGAAAAAAAATATTTGAATACTTCTCAATTGAATGAAACTGGTGATCATGTGTGATGAATGGATGAGAACACATTTCAGTTTGTGAACTTGCGTGTACTTACGTGCAAGTTGACAAGATAGAGATAGATAGTCAGTGTGTGTCAACAGGCGAAGTGGAGACTATATCTCTCCCTACGTTATTATTATTATTACTATTACTCATATAAATAATAGTACTAGCAGTAATGTTTTTTTAAAACAATATAGTTTATTTCGTGAGAGATTTTTTCGTGTGTATTTTGTCAGAAATTAGCTTAGTATTGAATTATTATCGTCAAGTGGAGAACCACTTGGAAAAACTTTCTCAGTGCTTTGGGACTCTTCATCAGTGTGTATATATGACCCTGATCCTGCGATCGAATCCAGAAGCTCCAGGTTACTAAGTCTGGTAGTTGAATAGTCGGTCACTTGGTTAGAATAATAATAATAATAAAAATAATGATAACAACAGTTTTATTCTGAAAAGTGTTCATATAATGTACAGAATTTTCAGGGGGATATATTACGTGATATTTTCTCTTCGTCCAAGATCTTCAAACAAAAAAGTAAACATTTAATTGAATTTTAGATCTTCCCGTCGATTGACTGGACTGAAGTGCTCGGTCTCACGTTGACATGTCGGGTTCTTGTACAGATTAGAATTTAATTGGTGGATGGTGACTAGCAGTGGAATCCA